CGATCTTTTTCAATTATTTATCATTTTGATAAATTTTCAACAGTTTATTTTAAGAGAGAAAAATGAGATGAAATATAATTTGCAGTGATATGTGCTCAGGGTTTAATAGCCAAAGATAAAACGGGTAAAAGTGATCCGTACGTTACCGCTCAGGTAGGTAAAATGAAGAAACGTACACGCACGATACATCAGGAATTGAATCCAATATGGAATGAAAAATTTTTCTTGTAAGTTCTTTGTAACATTTCTTCTAGAAGAAGTAATAATTGAAAAATGATAAAATTTAATTTAAATTTAAGTAATAATTGAAAAAAAAAATGATTGAAAAATGATAAAATTTAAAATTTAATTTAAAAAAATGATAAAATTTAATCTTATTATTACATTGAAGTCTTGAAATAATAATGAATGAATGAATTGCATTGTTGAGAGAGTTTCCGAGAATTTCAAGCAAATTGCTGTTTAGTTGAATAAATCTAAACGCTATAAACTATCGTTGAATGAAACTTTGTGGTAGTATTTGATGGAACTATTTGATAGAATAAAATTGTTATTGGAATAAAATTTACTACGAAGAAATGAAAAGTTTTCTTTTGAGAGAAAATTTTTGAATTTATTCAATTCAAATTATAAACTACAGAATAATAAGAAAATAATCGAGATAATCATTTAAAAATATGCAAAAAATTTGTAAAAATGAATTCAATCATTCTTAGTAGAGTTTTTTCACAGCAATGAATTAGCAAACATTTATAGCGAATGCCATAATTCAACGGATCGAATTAAAATTCGTGTTTGGGATGAGGACAATGATCTGAAGAGTAAGTTAAGACAGAAATTAACACGAGAATCGGATGATTTCTTAGGTCAAGCAATCATTGAAGTGCGAACATTGAGCGGCGAAATGGACGTTTGGTATAATTTAGGTTAGTCTCTTTCTTTTCCAATCTAATAAAAATTTAAAACTATAACAAAAAATGGCTTTATTAATGATCTGATTTAATGGTTAATGTATGATTAGGCGTACCGTAGCATTAAAACAAGTATTGAACATTAGACAATTTCAAGTTTTATATATCTGAAGAAGAAAAATTCTTTCTTTTTTGTTGAAAAGATTTCAAATCATTTATAGAAATTAAAGCATTTAAATCATATGCATCACATAGTCAATCAGATGAGTTTTGAAAATTCCGATGAATGTTGCGTTTAATTTTCATGTTCGTAACTAAATCATTCTTTTAAATTATCTTTGATTCCTTCAACTTTTTTTCTTTTTCGAGTCCAATAATGGATGCATATGGGTTAGGGCATATGCCAAGCTTTTTTTAGAATTTAAATCAAAAATCAAAATTCATTTTTCTTTAGAAATCATTCATCCTTTCTTATGCTTCCGTGCTGGAAGTAACATTGCATTTTTTCCTTTTTTTTTTTTTTTTTTTTGTATGCTTCAATACCGGAAGCATAGTAAGAATGTACTTCTGTATGTTTCTGTACGGAATCTAAGATTTCGACATTTTTGCATAATCACCAATCAACATATTCTGTAAGTGGCAAACGTAAAATATTCATAGCTCTACGTGAATATATGAATATGAATATGTTCAGCTATACGTATTTTGTATTTCAACGAATTCACTTTGCCAATATTCAACCATTAAAATATTCACTTTTCATCACACCTCTCTCTTCCTCTTCTTTTTCCTGGGATTGAATTTGTTAAATTGTTGAAACAGTTTTTCTTCATCATTTCCTCCCTTTCCCTTTTTACAATAAATTTGTTAGAAATTATAACTAAAATCGGAATTGAAGGATTCAATTTTTTGCCAATAATTTTAAATTAAATGTAATGAAAGAAAAATTTTTTGTTTTTTTTTTTTT